GTAAACTATAGTCACCCTTAGTGTACATGTTTTGAAGTACTTGTAAATATTCCTATGGTCTTAATGTAAATGCTGCAATGGACTTTGTATTTAAAATCTTTATTGCACAGTATTTCAGCCATGGTTATAGTACAACTTGTTGGTTTTGTTTTAAACGTAGTAAAACATGGTTATGTGTGATAAAAGTATGTTAATCTATTTGTATGTTTGTGAAAAATATTAATAAATCTTCAACTGTTATTGAGAGTGGTGTGTCGTGTTTATTATAAATAAGCAGCTGCTGCAGCTAGTGGTCCATAAGTATGGAGCAAAACGCCTGAGAACAGCGCCTCCGCGGAGCGGCCGGCATTTCCGGTTGCGTCGTCCTAACATCGGCCGGACAGCGTTTCCGATCATTTGCCGACGTCGCGGCGACATTTTGCCAATTAGCAAACGCTCCCTGAGCGACATCGCGCCGATGGAATTTTGAAAGTCGGCACGACGTCGGCCCAACGTATGTGTGCTGTCTGGGTAAGGTTTTCCCTGTTAAGATGAAGAGAGGCAAGCCAGGGGTGTCCAAACTCAGTCCTGGAGGGCCGGTGTCCGGCAAAGTTTAGTTCCAACCCCAATCAGACACACCTGGGCTAGCTAATCAAGCTCTTACTGGGCTTTCTAGAAACATCCTTGCAGGTGTGTTGAGGCAAGCTGGAGCTAAAATCTGCAGGACACCGCCACCGGCCCTCCAGGACCCAGTTTGGACCCACCTGGTGTCAAGCAGTTGGAAATCCCTGTAGAGCAGCGCCTCCTCTGGGGTCACACGCACACTGCAGGCAGGAGATAAAGACTCTGCACTTGACATCATGTACTGGAAACACAGTTGGTTTTGTAGTTAGCAGTTGTTTAATAATCATATATATATATATATAATTATATATTTTAATTTGTACAAGTTCACAAACAGAAAAGGTGTTGTTGCAGGATGATGATTTACACGACGTCAATAATGTGACTGAGATCTCTGTCAACTCGTGTTGTTTTCCAGAGATGTGTGTTGTATTGTACACGGATGATCTTTAAAAGAGCAGTTCCTAATATATTGATAGTCAGATTATTGCTGTCTCTGTAAATGTGGACGAACTGATCTGAGTAAAGCTGCGAGGATTCCTGCGTGGTCCACTGTTTCCACTCAGGACTATTTAGTTCATCATCATCATCATCAGAAATGAAAGAAAAGTACTGGTTTTAAACGTTTGTCTGAACCTCCATCCTCTGGAACGGCTGGATTTGCATCTATGGATTGGTCATAATCATCATCATAAACACATCAGTTTCAGTGCAGCATGAGAACGTGATCATGTATAGAAACATCCTACTGTAAAGTGCCTACAAGCAACACAACATTAGTACACATTCAAGGTAAAAAAGGTGCAAACATTTCTTCAGATGTATAAAAAACCATCGATTTAAAAATTAAAATACATACAAATGTGTCTCATGCGTTTTGTTCTTCAGGAACGGACCCTTAGTGTGGTTTGTTTTCAGACCTACATCTGGCAAGCTAGATTGATATACATTACGTTTATTGTCATTTATAGGTTATGTACAGTGCAGAAAATAAAAGTGCTCTCTCCCCGTCGCCTCAAATGTACATATTGCATGACCCTATCAAAGAAAAGAGTATCGAAAGAGGATCTGAGAGGTAAGAGCTGGAGCCGATTCCTCCATCTCAGCGTAAATCATTTACATTTCTGTCTCTGTGTGTGTGTGTGTGTGTGTGTGTGTGTGTGTGTGTGTGTGTGTGTGTGTGTGTGTGTGTGTGGTACTGTACATGTACACACATATGCGCTGATCTCCAGTCAGTGTGAGCTGCCGTGGTAAAGTTTCACGAGCACTGGAGGTTCATATAAACGGGACCTTGTATTATTATTATTATCAATGTGTTTCTGCGGTGTTAAAGGGATCGTTCACACAAAAACGATTATTGACTCGCTGTTTACTGTCCATCAAGTGATTTCAGACCAGCTTTATGAGTTTCTTTATACAAACGGAGACATTTTCAATAGCTTCTGTTTAAAATGTTAACTCCTAGTCAGCGAGTATTTATAAAAACACTGTAAAATATCCAGAAATCTGCATTTTTATGGGTTCTGTGATTGATGATTATGTTTCCTTGTTTATTTCTGCTTCTGAAATGCATTATGAGATCTTGATCTTTCCTCCAGCAGCTGTGAGCCTGTGTAAGTGTGTATAGTGTGTGTTCTGCACATGTGTAATAGTGTGCGGTGCTGTATAGTGTGTGTTGGTGTTGTATATTACGCTACAGTAGGCTTATAATAAACTGCAGCACATTCTCTGTTATTTTGCACACTTATTTCTCTACATTTTATCTCTTATGTTATTTTTAAACCACTAAAATGTCAATAAAAGTCCCTGTTAAACTGTAGAGTTGAATTATCAGCATCACGATAGGGTATATGCTGAGCTAGTGCTGTTCCTATGCTGATACACTTCCGGTGACCTGTTATTGTGAACTTTTTTTCCATTTTATACGGTTCCTTATACAGCATCGATGTTGTAATGTCATTAAAATACATTCAGTTAAATAAACTTAACATTTATTTGGTTGCTCAAGCGTAAAACGAGACAAAAAGCTGTTTACTCGCACGCGCCCGTCAGAATCGGCAGGCTAACGCAGAAGCTCCATTCAATATACTGGGGTAAAATAAATGCTCATATTATAAAGACATGACGGGGGAAATGTAATGTAATGCAGTGCTTCTTGTACAATCTGAGACCCACTTTATATCAGATATCACTCAGCCAGTGGAGATCGCTGATTTTTAAAGAAAACAGACCTTAAACGCACCAGATTTTGCATTGGCATTCAATTCGCCGGAAGCGCTTAACCCAGCTTACTGGCAAATTAAAAGTCCTATTAGCATGCTTCGGCATATACCCCATTTAACAGAGCAGAGATCAACATCCCATAATGCAGTTCACCACAGCTAATAAACAGTAAGGAGTGTTCATCAGCAGATATTGTTTCTACAGTGTCTCCTGTTTTGAACAGAACTCCAACAGTAAAGACGGAGGTTTTGTGTGAATTATCTCTTTACTAATACATGTGTTCTTTTAGTCTTCTTAGAATAGTTTCCTAAATAGATATTTACATCATTTCAGGGCATTAAAGTCATTATGGAGTCGCATCTGTGTGTACGCACCTTGTTAATGCTTTGGAAAGGAAGCATCTGTACATAGACTGCAAAAACACTGCTCTTATTTGAGTTTCTGTCCTGTTTCTGGTCCAAGCATCTAAAAACTCTTAAATCGAGAAGCATTTTCTAGACAAGCACAACAACATTGACTTGCTTTGAGAAATAATGAGTCAAGAGTTTTTATTAAAACAAGCAAAATAATCTGACAATGAGGGAAACAAACTAGATTATTTGACACACACTGTTGTCAGGTTATTCTGCTTGTTTTAAGAAATAACTCTCTTCATTTTGGCATATTATTTTTTTAAAACAAGATTTGTCTAGAAAATGCTTCTTAATTTAAACATTTGCTAAAATTTGGACTAGAAACAAGACAAAAACTCAGAGCAAGAAGTGTGTTTTCTGCAGTGTACACTACCTGACAGACGTCTTGTGGCCTAGTTTTAGGAACACAGATAATAACCGGACTTGTAGTTGCTGATCTGGTGTCAGAAGTGTCTCTATGAAAGGTGAAGGCCTCTAGATTTTGCTGATTTGAGCTCAATAAATCTGATCATGTCTTGATGTTGACTGATTTGATGAGGACAGTGCGGTCTGACTCTGCTCAGACTAAAGTCTCATCACTGAACAGAAATAATGTCCAGTATAGAATATAAAGTCCTGCTGCAGTGGAGACAGAATGAATATTGTGTCTGACTCCATCATGAGCTTGGAGGACTGCATCCATACATCTCTGACATGACTCACATCACTGATTAATAAAGTCATCTGGAATGAAGAAGAAAGCTTCAGCAGGATCCCAGAGTTCATCAAGAGTCTCTGTGTTCATCTTCAACACCTCCTCCTTCATCAGCTCAATAATGTTGATGTCTGGTGACTGGGCTGACCAATCCTGGAGCAGCTTGGCCTTCAGGAGCTTTGATGTGGAGGCTGAAGTATGAGCAGGAGCGCTATCCTGCTGGAGAATTGTCCTCTCCTGTGGTTTGTAATGTAATGGGCAGCACAGATGTCTTGATACCTCAGGCTGTTGATGTTGCAGATCTCTCCATACTGAATGAACCCCAAACCATGACGTCTCCTTCACCAAACTTGACTGATTTCTGTGAGAATCTTGGTCCATGCAGGTTCCAGTAGGTCTTCTGCAGTATTGGTGATGATTGATGCAGATCAGCAGATGATCCAGCAGAGAAATCCACCTCTGACACTTTCACACATCATCAACTAGAAGACCAGATACTATCTGCTGCTCTCACAGCTGATCCACCACAGGACTTCTGTCAGGCAGTGTAGTGGTGAAGTCAGGCCTGATCATGTGTATGTCATGTCTAAACTGCTTCCTGAAGTAGAGTTTTGACAGAGCTACCTGATCCAGGCTGAAGGATGAAGATTCCTGCGTTCAGGAGTTTCATCCACAACTATACATTCCTGGGAAGATTCAGCCTAGACTTGTGCTGCGTCCGAAATCACACTCTTCTTACTGTACAGCATGTGTAAGACAGTATGTGGGCCGAGCCGAATTCATCACAGACGAGGAAAGCCTGACTGCATTAAAGTCCAGTGGAATTAAAATACAATTAAATAGATGTTAGTATCAGAAGTCTTCAGGATATTTCTAATCTAGTGTCTCCAGAACACATGTAGAAGATAATACCCTGATGGAAACATCTACAGTCTGCAGTCTGTCTCCTCAGCCTAAATGGAGCCACGGTTTTATTTGTCGTCTCCTCATACTTCAGACTCTCATCATTTGATTATGACCAATCAAATGCTCTCTAGTGACTAACATGCTCCGCCCTCTTCTTCTCATTGGCTGCTCATCTGATGCGCTCGAGCTCTCCACTCTGACTGGCAGAGCTGTTAGAAAACAACACGCTATTGGCTGGACTTGTAATTGAAAGGTTGCCGGTTCTGTTCTCAGTCCCAGCAGAAATCAATCCGTACTCTCTCCATCTTCCATACCCAGCTGAGGAGACCCAGAGCTCAAAATGTGTCTGTGTGGGTTAAAAGCAGTGGAGAACAGTCATACTTGACCAGGCTCACTTCATACTGGAGTAGTAGAGGATTTCGCACGCAGATTTTGACTTTAAATGCTAGCGCTAACCGCAAGTCTTCCTGGCGTTACCGGAGCTGACGCAGCACCAGGAGGTCCGTCTGCACTACAGCAGCGTAAACCGAACGGAAACATCATTGCTGATTATTGGGAATGCCCTGAAGTGTTTCGTTGCATTGATCTTTTTACATAGTTCCTGCAGTCCTGCCTACTTTATCCGTGGCTACATCCTGGTCACGAGGCAGTGTCTGACCCCGCACGGGTACGACCAGTGTGTTTGTTCTTTAGGTGGCTAGTCATTTTGTGTCTGTCGCGATTCTCGGATGACATGTGCGCACAAGTGTTTCACATAAATGCGTGTCAGTTTCGCTTTGGTGCAACTAAAAGTGAAACTGTGCGCTGTTGTAATGTGTGTGTGTCTGTGTGTGTGCATGATTGCACAGGTTATGTGTGTGTGTGTGTGTGTGCGCCTCAGTTTTGTGGACCCTGGCCCCATCCTCCAGCACTCGGGGGACGGCTCGGCTCTCCGCTGCCAGACTGGTCCAGTTCAGCACTGTCACAGTCCGAGTCCTCACAGAGCGCACGCGTCTGAGAACAGAGCAAACACACCATCAAACTCCTGCACACTTTATACACTGAGCTCCAGTGCTGGACTTGATCACCTGAGACACTCAGACAGAACTTTAACTCTCATGTTGTCCTATAATTCTGCGTACACTATTGCATCCTCTGGGTCTAAAAGACCTGCCTTCAAATGAAAGTAAAATGGTGCCTGAGCCTTTTTTGACGCGTAAGTCAGCAGGAGTGTTGTGCTCCTGGAGGTCCAGGACTCTAACCCCAACCCTAACCTGAACAAGCTGATCGAGCTCTTCAGGATTTAGGCAGGGTTTGGAGCTAGTGGCCCTCCAGGATCAACAGTCCCCACACCTGTACTAGTATTCTGCTCTGTAAGAGAGTGTGCAGGAAGGCAACCTTTGCTTTTTCTCAGTGTACCTCCAGGATGTTTTGTTCCAGGTCAAAGTTGGCCCTTTCCTGTTCGAGGGCAGCGGCCTCTCGTTCAGACAGGGTTGGGTCTGTGATGTCCACAGGGATCTCGGAGCCCTGCGAGATCAGGTCATCGCTGCGGTCGTCCAGCCGCTCGTCAGTGTTGGTGCTGACCACGTCTGGAGTCCCGCTGTGGGAATGGTCGGTGGTGTGGCCCTCCTCGCCTTCTGAAACCGACAGGTTCTCTGAGCTGAACGTGGACACTGATTGGCACTTGGTTATACTGGTTGGCCGTCTGTAAATTGGACATTAGAGAACATGCAAACAATTAAACAGGCAAAAAAATCTGGATTAGGAAGTGAAGAATCATTTACATAAATCATGCAACTATAATGGTTCACACCGAAGATGTTTCTTACCGTCTTCTTGGTAATTCCACCTCACTGTCCACCTCGCCCTCTTCCTCTTCTGAGGAAACACCACGGCGCTGTGAAATTCAACACACCTTTAATTTGCCAATTGAATGAAAAAACCTCAAAAACACACAGGAAGACATTTTAAAGAAAGCTTTAAGACTATGGAACTCTATGTTAACAGGTTTACAACTCTTTTCAGAGTATCGTCTCTTATGTTTGACAATAGAAAGAAACTATCTGAAACTAGTAATGAAGGGGTGACCAACCCTGGAGATCTGTCTTCCTACCCTGATCAAACATACCTGCCTGCAATTATCAAGTGCTGTTCAGCTCCTGATTAACCTATTCGGCTGTGTTTGATCAGTGTTGGAGCTGAATTCTGCAGGAAGGCAGATCTCCTGGAACAGGGTTGAGCACCCCTGAAGTGAAGGGTGAGAAAATGATGACAGAATTTTCATTTGTGGGTGAACTGTCCTCCTGCATACCTGTTTGCGTGTGATAGCAGCGCGGTAGAGTATGGCGGAGGGCGTCAGGTGGCTCCCGCTGGATCCTCTGGGCAGCCGCACAGCCCCGGGGCCCTCCTCCCGCTCCTCCGCCTGTGGTCTGCCCACGGCACCGCTCCGCCCGCAACAGGGGGAGTCCGGGCTGCTGGAGAAGGGCAATGATGCCGCGTCCTCACTGGCCGTGTCACTTCTGGGCGGAGTCTCGTCCAGCCCGGCGCCTGCCTCTGCACCCCCGCGGGGGTCCCGGCCCAGGGTTTCGGGTGTGGCAACCCCGCTGACGCCGTCTTCGACTCGACGGGTGGAGCTCAGCAGGTCCGGGCTGGACGAGGACAGCTTCAGTGGCGGCGGCTCCAGCTGACCCTCCCTCATGGTGGATCCGGAAACGCTCTCGGCGATAGGCGCAGCAGGCGGAGGAGTGTTGGCCACAGGCTCGCGCTCTCGGCTGGCAGGGGCAGAAGGGTGCTTGGGTCCCGACAGATCCCCGCTGCTCCCCCTGCCGCCCCGCCGGTGACGGGTTTTGACCCTGCGTGCCCGACTGGGTGAGGTAGATCCTCGGTTTGAGCATGGCGGGACAGTCACTTGCAGCACTCCGGCATCCATCTTGGGGAGGATGATCTCTGAGCGCAGGAGGTCCGGTCTAAAGATGTTGTTAAAGAGAAAATCATAAGTTACACTTCATCACTTTCCCTGGGATATCATCAGGATCTGGATGCAGGTGCAAGCTGAGCTCCATGCAAGACTTTTAATGTACACACCTAAGTGACGTCACAGGGTGTATATAAATGAGCATGTCCTGCAGGTTTGTGAATGTGATGTAAAGCTGCTCTCACCTCTTGCCGTGAGGCGGCAGTTTCTGCGGGGCGCTTCTCTTCTTGATGAGTTTGTCCACTGTGTTTGAGGTGTGATGCTTGAACAGACCAGGGTACTTCTTATCCAGACACTGTTCCCTCCTGTGTCGGGCATATAGCAAATAACAGATAAACACATCTGCTTTGGCCTATATATAACCACTGAGTGTCACAGAACAGACCCTGAAATCTTCGCCACTTCCAGCACACCGAGACTGCCACACATCCAGCAGGTGTCAGTCTCAATGTGCTGTGAGCGCACCTGAACACACTACTGATCTGCTGACTGTAATCAATCTAATCAATTTAGCAGTCCTAGACAGTTCTCCAGCATGGTACACACTGATTGATATTGTTCCTCTGTATCTTTATCCGTGTAATTGTGGTGTGAACTATGCTGTTTTTTAACACCGTCAACCATTGTTACAACTCGATCTGTATAGTTATCTTTTTAGTTATCCTGCTTGGTGGGAATGACCCAGGATAATGTAAAATCATCAATAACCCAATCCAGAATCTGATCTGGGTTACCTGAGCAGCTCCTTCTCCTTGAGCTCCAGCTGAAGCATTACTGCATTGAGCTCCATGTAGAGGTTATTGGCCCTCTCCAGCTTCCTCTCGTAGTGCTCTCTGATGTCCAGCGCATGCCTGCAAGGAATTTCATCACACTTTTATCAAATAAAATATTTATGACAATTTTACACAAACTTTAAAGCTAGTAAATCTAGAGAATGTGTATGGGGTGTGTCAGTGTTTACAGGTGTTGTTTATCCTCTGGTGTTTGTCTTTTGGTGTTTGTCAGTAGTGGTGCTGACCTGAGTTCTTCTCGGCGCCGGTTGATCAGCTCTTCATCCAGACGGTGCAGACACGTGCCCTCAGATTTAATCTTCTCAAAGTGTTGCTTCACCTCCTCTCGCCACTCCGCCTGCAGAAACACACACATGGACGTTCACATGGGATCCCAAGGCATTCCCAGGCAAGCCTAGACACATTGTCTTTCCAGCACATCCTGGGTCTTTCCCAGGGAATCCTACCGGTCACCTCCCTAGGTAGGCGCCCATGAGGCATTCAAAACAGATGTTCGAGTCCCTCAGCTGCTTCTCTAAATGTGGAGGACCAGCGGCTCTATTCCAAGTTCCTCCTGAGTGACAGAGATCCTCATTTTATCACTGAGGGTGCACCCTTGCCTCCTTGTGTAGGAAACTAAATTCAAGAGCTTGGATCTTGTCTCTCTGGTCATGACCCAAAGCTCATGGGTAAGAGTAGGAATGTAGATTGACCAGTAAAAATCAGGAGCTTTGCTTTTTCAGCTTCTTTACCACAACAGACCGGTACACTGACCGCATAACTGCTGCCGCTGTACTGATCTGCCTGTCAATCTCGTGTTCCATCCTTCCCTCATGCGTGAACAAAACCCTAAGATACATGAACTCCTCCACCTGGGGTAAGGACTTTCCTTCAACCTGGAGATGGCAGGTCTCGTTTTTCTGCTGGAGCATCATGGCCTTGGACTTGGAGGTACTGATTCTCATCACTGCCACATTAAACCATCTCAGCTCATGGTGAAGGTCCATGAAGCCAACAGAACAACATCATCTGAAAATAGCAGAGATAAAATACTATGGTGCCGGAACCAGACCCCCTCCGGTCCTAGGATGTGCCTAGTAATTCTCTCAATAAAAATATTGAACAGAACTGGTGACAGAGGGCAGCCCGGACGGAGTCCAACATGCACTGGGAACAAGTCTGACTTATTGCCGGCAATGCCAAACTCCTGCTCCTGCTTTCCAGGGAGGCTAAGGAGTGTGATCCCCCTATAGTTAATTACACCCTCCAATCCTCTTCTTAAAAATTTTAACCACCACCCCAGATGCCCAGTCTAGAGGTGCCATCAGTCCAGAGGTGCCCGACACCCATGCGATATTGTAGAGGTGTGTCAACAAACAAAAACAACCCCCTCAATATCCAGAGACTTAAAGTACAACCACTGCTTTGCTACTGCAAAGCTTGCAGACTACCTCAGTGACTTCAGCTTGGGTGATTGAGGAATCGATCTCTACATCTGCTCATCAATAGAAGGAGTGTCAATGGGATTTAAGACACTCATCAGCCTTTGAAATCTCAGTTGGTAGAGCAAAGGACTCTTTAGGTTGGTTCAACTCTAGCTCGAAGGACATCTTTTTCTCGCAGACCCACTTTGCTGCTCAAAGAGCACAAAGAGCCTAGGCAGCAAAGCACCAAATCCTAACCACTAGACCACCAGGAAAGGGCTGGCAAAGGCTACCCCTTATGCCTGGCTGTGGGCCTCCACCCACGTGTGCTGCAGCTGCTCTGACTAAAACATTAACACTTGTAACCTCGTCATGGAGATGAGAGAGAGTCCCAGAACCTGGATCAAAGTTCTTCCAGGGAGGGAGTGTTCTGTAAAACCATCCTATTGACACCACCACAAAACAAGCTTCTGTGCACACTGAAGGACATGTAGAATACCAGAAGAGAGCAGTGCTGTTCCAGAAGTTCATGTTTGTTAGTGTTGTGAGTGTGTAACTGTGTGTTGGTGTGGAAGTGTGCTGGTGTTTAGTCTGACCTGAGACTTAAAGTACGTCTCCTGTGGGGTGGACAGCACGTCTGCGGAGGCGATGTCCAGATGAAGCAGAATCTGCCGGAACGATGGCCTGTTCCTGGGCTTACAGTTCCTACACACACACACACACACACACACACACAAACACAGTACATATTAGCATCAACAGAGCTGATACTCAATACAAGTCAGTTGTGTGTGTGTGTCATCTTGTGCTTGTGGTATTATAGAAAGTTTCCACATAATTCCATCTGGTCCTCTATTTCTCTCTCTCTATCTCTCTCTCTCTCTCTCTCTCTCTCTCTCTCTCTCTCTCTCTCTCTCTCTCTCTCTCTTTGTATTTCTGTCTATATCTGTATGTTTCTTTGTCCAGCTGTCTCTCTGTCTTACTGTCTGATTCTGTCATTGAGTGTGTGTGTGTGTGTGTGTGTGTGTGTGTGTGTGTGTGTGTGTTTTACCAGCACTGTCTGAGCAGGATCTTGAACCCATCAGGGCAGCTGTCTGGAAGAGGGAGCTGCAAGCTGTTGTTTCCGACACCCCAAATGATAGCAGACGAGTCCACATCTTTATAGGGGATCTCCCCGGTCAGCATCTCCCACAGCACCACACCGAATGACCTGCAGACACCACAGATCCCATTAATGACCTCTGGATACTCCCAGGATATTACACTGACTGTCGAGATCTGTTTTCATTATCTGATCATGCTAAATATGTGTGTAAATGAGGTCTGAAGCAGATTGACTTTGTCCACTATCTATGGGGCTTCACACCAGACGCAGCTTACACAAATATTCGCTCGTAATTTAACACTTGAACATATTGAATTTACTTCATGCCTTCGTGCATGAAGTTCCCTTCACAATAGATGCAGATTCACGTCATGAGAGGGGATCTGTCTGCCTGGCAACTCCAGTTTCATTGCAAAATGTCTGACATGGATTTTATTGAGAGTAGCTGCGCTTTATGTGCTTTAGCAAGGCTGAAAACGGTGTAGATCTGTTTGGCGCCATGTCTGGGTGAGAAGCTGCTCCTGGATGATGGATGCTTTTAACGGTACTTCCGACTGAGCCGGTCCCAGTGTGATGACCTGTTGTCCCGACAGATTTTCCTGCAGGACAACAACTCCAGGTGCTACGTCATACAAAACACATCATGACCCTACTAGAGCCAGCTCCAGATTGGGTAACAAGACACAAATGTCCACCAAAGTACAGATTGTTCAAATCACTTGTTAATCGCGTCACAATCCCAAAATGCCCAAATCATATCATTCGCACCACCTCAGTTGGGTGAACCGTGCTGCATGATGTCTAATCGGGTCTTTACTTTGAGTTAACATGTAAATCCCATGCGCTTGACGCTTCATCTGTTTCAACCAATCTTTTCCAGAAGTAGTGAAGAAGACCTGAGATCGATGATTTCATAGCAAAAATGTGCATGTGGTATACTTTCAAACTGTTTATGTCAATTGAACCTGTATGATACAGTTGTCAACATCTGAAGTAGATTAAAAGTTCTCTAGACAGGATCCGGTGTTGTTAAATAGTTCTAGGCCAACTTTAATGCCAGGCTTTAATCCACTTCAAATGTTGACAACTGCATTATTTTCACAAGGATACAGGTGTTGCGCAGTGATGTCTGTGAAAAACATTATGTTATAGCTAGTTATTACACGGCTGTCTGGAAAACTTGCTTCTGTTTGGTCAGTCAGTATATTCCAAGGTATGATATTCTGAGCAAGTATTTCTGACTAATAGTTATAGTCTTAGTTTGACTTTTTATTTACTATCATAACCTTGCTATCAACCTCTTAAAACGTCAGATTAAAACCATCATTATGATTACCAGATGTCCACTTTCTCAGACACAGGTTCGTTCCGTATCACCTCCGGTGCCATCCAGGCCACGGTGCCAGCGAACGACATCTTGGTGCTTTTATCCCTGAGCTCTTTAGACGTGCCGAAGTCGGAGATCTTCACCAGGTCATCGTGTGTGATCAGCATACTGACAGGAGAAACACACATCAGCGTTTCAGTGTGCGGTTGCATAGAGCACAAACGTTTTTCCCTTAAGCATGACACTAAAGGGTTAAATTCCCCTTACCTAAGAGAATAATTTAAGGGTGTTGCATATATTCCCTTATACAGTTCTCTTAGTTAAGGAGAACCTTTAAGGTCTTCACAACATCGACAGAGGTTTATTGTTAAAATATTGTTGTTATGGACATGCTACTCCTATTTTAGTCCACTGGCAGTTTTTCAGAAAACCTTTTGGACACTTCGTTATTGATGAGATGCGCTACTCCTGTTTCTACACCCTTATTTAAGGTGGATGGCTCCATCTTGTGACTGAATAATGCACAGGTTAGTGTATACTCCATTCAGCTGTTTTTTTTCTATCAGCTCGGTATTTAATTGATTTAATTAATAAACTATTACAGCTCAGAGTAATGGTTATGTTTAGTTTATGTTTTGTGGCAAGTAGGCGTGTAAAAAGCAGGATAAAGTACATCCAGCCGGTTGTTATCTCTGAATAACCCTAACCCCAACCGTAACCCTTATACAAATGGGTTAAACCTGTGGTGTTTATTCTGTCAGAACAACCAACCAGATGTGCTTTATCCCTTACACAAAGACCATTTCGATTATAATGTGAGTTTATGAAATGTTGTGTCTAAATTGCAAAGCAGTGAATTACAGGTCAGATGAAATATCCCCAACTGTTGGAGACTAAATGTGCCACCCCTCATAATACATCCTTATTTGAGTTGGTAGTTCACTCTGATGAATTGTGCTACCCCTGATGTTTTAGGTAAAACATGACAGACTGAGCTACCGGTAGCACACTCTGAGGAGTTAGCACAGATCGGTGATGTACAGAAATAAGGCTGTAGTGCAGGTAAAGTGCTGTACTTTGGAGACTTGAGGTCTCTGTGGATGATCTTGTGCAGGTGCAGGTAGTTCATGCCGCCGGCGATGCCCATGGCCCAGTCCACCAGCAGGCACGGCGTGATCTTCCGGCCCGCACGCAGCACCTCATACAGCTGACCCTGCGCACAGTACTCCATGAGGATGCAGTAACACGGAGCCTGTGTACACACACCCCTGAAACACACACACACACACACACAGTCAGAACCTGAGCATGTTTGTTGAGTTGGCCAATTAATCAAAGGCAATTTTCTAAATAACTTGGACTCGCCAAAGCATTTATATACTGCTGCTCTAGTGATTTGATCGGCACACTGTCTTTTATCCTCACTTGTAAGTCGCTTTGGATAAAAGCGTCTCTTAAATGAGTAGATGTAAATGTTATTTGTTATTTCGGTTTGCCAATCTGGAATCCAGTAGATCTCCAGGTCTTGTAGGAGCACTTTTAGCTTAGCTAATCAAATTTGACCATTAGGATCTTGTTCAAACATGACCAAAGATTTTTGATGATTTTCCTGTTTAAGGCTTGACTCTTCTGTAGTTGTACTAAGACTGACTGAAAAAGAAAAGTTGTTCTAGGCTGATATGGTAAGCAACTATACTCTCATTTTGGCGTCATAATTAAGGAACATTGCTGCTGTAATGATATTTGTCTGATCAGCCTGAAAATAATCCCAGGATAGGGAACTTTCAACATGACCAGCACCTTCTTATATTGATGGAAGTTAGCCGATTTTCAGGCACATTAAGCAACATTTTATTTCCCGCTGATCTAGGTACAGTTGGATGATTGGTCTTGACTCACTTGAAGGTGATGATGTTGGGATGTTTGAGTTTGCGCAGGTGTTTGATCTCCGTCTCCTTGATGTCTCTGACTTTCTTCACTGCCACTTCCTCTCCATGAAACTTGCCCAGGAAGACTGCGCCCTGAGCGCCGCTGCCCACCCACTGCAGCTCCGAGATCTCCTCGAACGGCACCTCCCAGCACTCTGCAGGACAAGAGTCATTACACTCCAAAACACCTCACAACAATAGTGGGTTTAGTCTCCACAGGGTTGGCTCAATTAAAGCAAAACCTCTAGTGTGATTGCTCTGTTAAGGTGCGATACACTGGGCACTTTTTGCTGTTGCATGAGCAATGAAATCAATGTTTTCCCTTTGTTCATGTTTTTGGTATGAAACTTCATGCTGATATGCTGTTGACCATAAAGAGCATCATACCAGTCCTATGAAAAGGCTCCAAAACCTTCAATAGACCAGAACTATAAAAGAATGAATCGATCTTTTTAATCGGAACTGTCCAAAAGATCGCAAAAAAGATCTGAACTTCCCATCACTAAATCACACCCAGCCAAATTCTTGTGTGCGTGTGTGTGTGTGTGTGTGCGGTACTCACCCTCCTGGCTTTGCTTGTGTTCAGTAGAGTAGGCTTTTCCGATCATGGTCCACACGGGCTTCAGGCAGCCGAACAGGCCTTCCAGGAAGCCTCCTCCGCCGGGCTGCAGTCTGAAGCTGTCGGCCTGGCTGCGCACCGCTCCGCCCTCCGCTCCACCCTCCTGCAGCTTCAGCACGCTGTTGGAGAAGTTGGTGGGCTCATCACTCAGGGTGGGGCTGTTGCTGTGGGTGCCACTGCCGCCGCCCACGGGGTCGATGGACAGCACGTTACGCAGCACGCACTGGGTCGGGGTAAGCTCAGTGTCCGGGGTGCTGGCCGGAACCTCAGGGTCAGGACGGCAGAAGGGCGGGTCGGAGAGCGGCGTGGTGAAGCCGGAGAGGGACGGGGATGGGGCATGCTGCTCATGGACACAAGCCATGGGGGCAGAAGGGGTCGGGTGGAGCTCTGAGTTACCCACCCTTCAGAACGGGCACCGCAGCAGGTCAACACACCTAAGGAGAAGAAACATGGGCACATTACTGATGGGGACGATCTTTAACTTCTTAAGAGGCTGCTATTTTGCAATGTGTCATTCTTGAGGTGCAGCTGATCACAGAGAGTTGATCAGATCTTTTAATCTCAGTTTGGAGCACTGAGTTACTCACCCTTCAGCATGATATTACTGATGGGTCATTCTTGAACTGTCGATAATCCTTCTAAACTACTTTAATGTGACTCGGGACATACAGGGACGAGACAGCCCTTAACAAAGCACTACTGACCACATACTCCCACAGCACCCTCCACAGAATACCATGAGGGACTCGGGCAATGCATTCTCCAAGCTCACAAACCACATGTGTACTGGTTGGGCATACTCCCATGAGCCCTCGAGCACCCTGGTGAGGGTATAGAGCTGGTCCAGTGTACCATGGCCTGGACGAAAACCACATTGTTCTTCCTGGATTCTAGGTTCAACCATCGGACGGATCCTCCTCTCTACTACCCTGACATAGACTTTCCCGGGGAGACTGAGGAGTGTGATCCCCCTATAGTTGGAGCACACTCTTCGGTCCCCTTCTTAAAAATGGGAACCATCACCCCAGTTGCACAGTCCAGAGGTACTGTTACTGAGCACCATGCAATATTTCAGAGTTAGTCAGCCAAGACAGCCCCACAATATCCAGAGACCTAAGGTACACAGGGTGAGTCTCATCCACCTCCGCTGCTTTGCCTCTGCGGAGCTTGCAAACTACCTCAGTGACCTCAGCTTGGGTGATGGGTGAGTTCACCCCTGTATCCCCAGTCTGTGCTTTCTCAATGCAAGACATGTCAGTTAAAGAGATCCTGAAAGTACTCCTTCCACCATCCGACCACATCCCCAGTCGAGGTCAACAGCTCCCCACCTTCGCTGTAAACAGTGTCATTGTGGAGCTGCTTTCCCCTCCTGAGGCGCCGGACCCTAACCGATAGTTTTCCTCCATGGTCTCCCTGAACTCCTCCCAGGCCGGAGTTTTTGCCTCAGCAACCGTTCCGGCTGAAGCATGCTTGGCCTGCCGATACCCATCAGCTGCCTAGGGAGTACTGCAAGCCAGTATTGAAAATTCCTCTGACTTGAATTTTAGCCAGATGTTCCCAGAGGACTCTCAACATCCATTTGGGCCTGCCAGGGCTGTCCAGCTTTCTCCCCAGCCAGCAGATCCAACTCACCACCAGGTGGTGATCAGTTGACAGCTCTGCCCCTCTCTTTACCCGACTCCAAGACATACAGTCGGAGATCAGATGATACAAACACAAAGCTGATCATTGATTTCCGCCCAAGGGATGCTTATGCTCAAAATTGGTGTTTGTTATGGACAAGCTGTGATTAGCACAGAAGTCTAATAACAGAATTCAGGTCAGGAAGGCTGTTTCTCCCAATCACGTCTCTCCAGGTCTCACTCACCATGTGTGCATTGAAGTCCCCCAGTAGAACAACAGAGTCCCCAGTCTGAGTGACTTCCAGCACCCCGCCCAAGGACTCCAAGAAGGCAGCGTATACCAGTAGAACATAGTCAATTTGTTGTGAAAGGTTTTCAGTGATATTGTCATTACTCTGTCAATGCCTCTGTCATTACTCTGTTAATGACAAACTCAATTGTTCCACTGTAGTTGAGGCAAAGAAAAATATTAATGATGCTGTTATAAAATTAATGACAAAGACAACCCTTCAACTAAAGTGTTGCAGATATATTCGGAAGTCCTTTTTCATTAGGACAGGGCAGCAAGCAAATTTGGAAAGGGGGATTTTTGGGATCAGGAACGATTCACGAGTCGGGACTCGAGCTCAGGACGCCCGCAGTGCACTAGTGTTTGTCCATCAGCACCGACATCAGTCTGAAGGTTTCTAGCATTCTAGAAAGAGCTTGATTGGAGCTAAAGCATGCAGTACACTGGCTCTCCAGGGGTAAAGAATGACTATATATGGCCTGCAGTCCTCAGGGAAGGCGTTGAGATCTAGATCTGGCCTGAAGCCTAAGTTTTCCCTCCATATTTCCCTGGCAGAGAGTGAGGAGATGGAGAACTGGAGACAGACAGATATCTACAGCATGGAAAATAAGTTTTGAACACGTCAACATTTTTCGCAGAAATAATTCTAAAGGTGCTGTCGAATGTTCCCCGGATGTTGATAGCAACCAAAGAATCTATATATGCAAACAAAACAAATCTAATTAGTTTAAATATCAAGTTATGCATAATTAAATGAAATAACGCAAGGAAAAGTATTGAACACATGAAGACATGTAGAAGAGAGATGTTGAAAGCCCAGACAGCAGCTGAAATCTCTCAGTAGTTCTTCAGTAGTTCCTCCCTCAGTGTAAATGAAGATCAGCTGCTTCAGTCCAACATCTACATCAGCAGGAGGATGAGGATCAAACCAGGGTGGACATTTGAGCAAAACAATGATCCAAAACACAGCCAAGGAGACTCTCAGGTGCTTTCAGAGAAAGAAAATCAAGCTGTAGAATGACCCAGCCAATCACCTGACTCCAATCCAATAGAGAATACAGCTTTCTCCTTAGTGTTTCTGTCTTCATACCCATAATGGGAGTGTAATAATGCGCTCATATAAATGATGAAAAATATTACCATAAACAATGTTTATATGCATAATGTAAAACTAAACTTTTTATTTTGTACATTTGATATACACTCACTTTGATATACGGCCACTTTATTAGGTACACCTCACTAGTATCGGGCCGGACCCTTTTGCCTTCAGAACTGCCATAATCCTTCACAGATTCAACAAGCTACTGGAAATATTCCTCAGAGATTTTGCTCCATGATAGCATCACGCAGTTGCTGCAGATTTGTCGGCTGCACATCCATGATGCCAATCTCCCGTTCCACCACATCCCAAAGCTGCTCTATTGGATTGAGCTCTGGTGACTGTGGAGGCCATTTGAGTACAGTGAACTCATCGTCATGTTCAAGACACCAGTCTGAGATGATTGAGCTTTATGACATGCTGCGTTATCCTGCTGGAAGTAGCCATCAGAAGATGGAGACACTGTGCTCATAAAGGGATGGACATGGTCAGCAGCAATACTCAGGTAGGCTGTGGCGTTGATGCTCAATTGGTACTAATGGACCCAAAGAAAATCTCCCCCACACCATTACACCACCAGCACCAGCCTGAACCGCTGATACAAGGCAGGATGATCCATGCTTTCATGTTGTCAGAGCCGAGCATCTGAATGTGTCAACAGAAATGGAGACTCATCAGAGCAGCAACGTTTCTCCAATCTTCTATTGTCCAGTTTTGGTGAGTCTGTGTGAATTGTAGCCTCAGTTTCCTGTTCTTAGCTGACAGGAGCGGCACCCGGTGTGCTCTTCTGCTGCTGTAGCCCATCCGCTTCAAGGTTGGACGTGTTGTGTGTTCAGAGATGCTCTTCTGCAGAGCTCGGTTGTAACGAGTGCTTATTTGAGTTACTGTTGCCTTTCTATCAGCTGGAACCAGTCTGGCCATTCTCCTCTGACCTCTGGCCTCATCAACAAGGCATTTGCGCACACAGAACTGCGGCTCACTGGATATTTCCTCTATGTCGGAGCATTCTCTGTAAACCCTAGAGATGGTTGTGCGTGAAAATCTCAGTAGATCAGCAGTTTCTGAAATACTCAGAGCAGCCCGTCTGGCAGCAACAACCATGCCACGTTCAAAGTCTCTTAAATCCCCTTTCTTCCCCATTCTGATGCTCGCTTTGAACTGCAGCAGATCCTCTTGACCATGTCTACATGCCTAAATGCAGTGAGCTGCTGCCATGTGATTGGCTGATTACAAATTAAAATTAAATTAGCAGTTGGACAGGTGTACCTAATAGTGGCTGGTGAGTGTACATCGTCATATTGCACATTAGCTCTAGTATGAACTAGACATAAGTAAATAGAACGTACATACAATGGTAAATTTACTGGAGTAATTGAACTTTATTCAGGTGAAGCTTTGTCGTGCTGATGTGCATGAGAGCCAGCCATGTATTGGGCATGTCTTATGCATAACTTTAGCTTAAGTTCAGCCATTTTGTCAGCTTTATATAGACTCGTCTTGGTTGTTAATCCACATCAGATGATGATTGGCTTGTTGTTTATATTGGCTTCAGTGTTCAGGACTGCACATTTAGAGGTGTAGTTCAGCACTCTGGACAGCGATCCTCACTAGCATGCAGAGAACATTCTCATATCATGTGCAGTTTTGGGAAACACATGAGGAATTGTTCTGATTGTTTGTCTCCCTGCATGCTTCAGATTAGTGCAGTTAAATCCTGATCTAATCATGACAAACTATTAATCCTTAAAAAGGTCTGAGATTTCTGACATTTCACCACAGTTTTATAAAAGGTAAGATATTAAACCACATTTACTCTCATCCTACAGCCGGTGGGAGAACTGACTGTAATATTTAAAAATAATAGCGTAGTCCAAACACTGAGCAATCATCACTAACTATACATCACCTGAAATCTTAAAATGTCTAGTTTCCATATAAAGTGATTAAAGGTGTAACGGTTCACAAAAATCCCGTTTCGGTTCGATACAGCACAAGTGGCGTCACGGTTCGGTATGCTTTCGATACAGCAAAAAAAGAAAAAAGCCTGAGGAGTTCTCTGATTTAAATAAAGCAAATTACACCTAAGAGTGATGACCTTAATGATTTATTATTTAATAATTCCAGGTTTAGATGTTACAATGTTGTAAATGAATAGGGCATAGGGGGGATAAGTGGGAATAGAACACAGCCAGCAAGTCTGTTTCTAACTACAGCTCCAGTGGTGTAGTTGTAAGTGCACAAGTTTGCGACGCAGTTTGTGAATGTTCATTGGAATGACGGATTTGGGAAACGCCAGATGAACTATGTTTGTAACGAAGGAACTTGCGACCTTAGTTGGCTAATGATGGTTTCCTGGACAGTTGTTTTCCCAGAATAAACCCTCCAGTCTTACACAAAAACATTGATATGATGTGAACAACAGCTGCAGATAATTAAATAATCAATGGAGGTTTTAATAATATGAATATATCAATAACATATCATGTTAGTTGCATCGTGTGCACTCGAATAATATTCTGCTTATAGGGCTCCTGAAGGTTTGAGCTGGCCCTGTGTGTATACTGATTATTACTCTAATTTGAGCTGTTTTTACTGTTGTTTTTGACTATTAGAGTTTGACTATCGTTATTGAAGCCACTGCTATACTGAACAGCATTTTAGGAGGCTGTTTTATACTGCAAATGAAGATATTCTGCTGCCCCAATAGTCAGATCACACATATAAACACATTATAATGAGCACAACACAGCGATTGGACCCCTCGTATCCTCTGTAAATCACACACAGAGCGGCCAGATCTGATTTTGATCCACAGCTGAAGCACTCTGAACACATTTGCGCTGCGGTTTAGCTGATGTGTGACCTGCTCTGCTCATCTCCGTGAACGGCCATCATCTGTGATCATCTTCTGAGGTGAATGGTGGCCAATGAAAGCACATAAGCGTGTTATTACTCCTCCGTATTCATACAGCTCTCCAGACGCGCTGTTACACTCAGATTGACGTCTTCGCGTCGTTATAGTTACATTATGGGATGTGTGGAGCGCTAATCAGCGGATAATAATAAAATAATCCCAGTAACGCGTCGTGTGGAGAGCCGCGCGCGCGCTTCAGCAGCGCGAGCACAATATGACAAAATTGCATAACGCGTCGCGTCGCGTTATTACGCTATTGTGCGCGCTGAAAAACACCGCGCTGTGAAGAACGCGCAGCGATGGACGCGTCGGTTCAGATGTGATGTCATTGTGAAAGAGTGAAGTACCGCAATGAGCTTCACCATCACACACACACGCACACACACACTGGTGTTTGGGATGCGGGGATGGTACCTCTGCTCTCCGGATGGTGATGACGGTCGTCAAATGTCCCGCGGATCTGCTGCCGTATTTCTGCCGCTTCTCCTCCGGTTTTCTCCTCCTGTTCGTCGTGTTTTCGGTCGGTCACGGATTCGGGTCCATTAGTCGAGCGGAAGGAGCTGTTTCTCCTCTACGGTGCTGAAGTGACGTCACGCAGTATGACGCCGCAAGGGGGCGCTGTGCGTAACCGCGAGCACGAGCATGACGTCAAAGCCCCACGCGGCGGTCTGCTGGGTTTGACCTTCCGAGAAATTGTTTATTAACAAACAAATGAAGTGTGTGATTTGATATGATATATGATATGATTTGATGTATTGTTTTATTCTGATAATGAGGACTGGATTTGTAAAGCACAACATGTTTTTAATTTGTTCATGGAAATGGCACATGCATGAGGGAAAGGGGGCTTGATGTAGACCAAACTTTATAAACGACTTCAAATTATAACTCAGTATTAGGAACAATCACAAAATTCAATGTAATGTAATGCTCTTTAAACATTTAAATTCATGCACATATCTATTTATAATCTTTTTCTCTGTCTTAGAACTGTTTGAATATGTTATTCACACTGTTCTTTAATAATTAATAAAGCGGAAAAGAAGGAGATTCGACCTTTAGAGAAACATTTCTTTACTTTAGTGAGAGAAGAACTATTAATTTGATGGAAAAAGCTGTGGTCTTTGCCATATAATATAATTAATGAAGCACTAGACTTTTCTTTTTTTGATAAGAAACCATTATAGACTGTTCTTATATATATGTTTACAAACAAATGGGCTTTTGATACAGGTTGTTCAGGTTATAAACTGTAGTCTAGAGTATTTTTACTTCACTGTACTCAGATTTTGAAAGGATTATATGTTATAGGTAGGCTCACACGGCGTGTGCAGATCTGCCGATTTTTAGCTCATCGATTCTGTTTACTTACTTGTGTAAATGTGTGTAAATTTGTTTTAGGTTATAGCTAGGGCCAGACGGAATCTGCAGAGGTTTTTTTTGCTATTTCTGCACAGAATTTTGTTAAAAATCTGCAGATTTATTCTGAATTATTTTGGGAGTATAATAACTAAAGCCTTAATATATGAAATAAAAAGTACTACATTTTTAACTTGTATTTAATGTTTACAATGCAAATCCAGTTAGATCCACTTATTTGGTAAACAAAGCAAGTCTCTCATATAATATCTCTACTAAAAGACAGAAGATATTACTGTACACACTATATTGTAAATAAACCATATGGATATTCTCATATTAGTCAGTAATATAACTGACATTAATTTAAAAACTGAATAAATATAAATTTACACACATTTACTCAAGTAAACAAACAGAATTAATGATGGGCTAAACATCAGTGGAATTCTGTGCATGCAGAACCTGTGTGGGCCTAATTATAGGTTATAATATATATATATGTAGCGTTCAGCATGAATGAGCCCACCCGGGAATAGAAAGATAATGTTTAAATTCATTCATTTTCTATCAGCTTAGTCCCTTTATTTATCAGGGGTCACCACAGTGGAATGAACCACCAGCTATTCCAGCATATGTTTTACACAGTGGATGCCCTTCCAGTAGCCAGTACTGGGAAACACCGATTCACACTCATTCACTCATACACTGCGGCCAGTTTAGTTCACCAGTTCCCCTATAGCGCATGTGTTTGGACTGTGGGAGAAACCGGAGCACCCAGAGGAAACCCACGCCAACACGGGGAGAACATGCAAACTCCACACAGAAACACCACCTGACCCAGCCGAGACTCAAACCAGAGACCTTCTTACTGTGAGGTGACGGTGCTGACCAATGAGCCACCATGCTCAAATTTAAACAGATTATACTTTTCACAAAACATAACAAACTACAATATAAAAATATCACAAACTGCAAAGTTCCAACTAAATTTCAGAACTTTTATATTTCTGTTTAATTTTATTATTTAATTGATAAACTTCAGTAATGTAAAATGTGCAAAAAATGAAATGTCAATGCTGAATCATTATTATGTAATAGGTTATCAGCAGCAGGTAGAAATCAGCAAAATAATATGTAGGCTACTCACATGAAAATGTCGATTATTGCATTAATAATTGTCTTTCACGCTTTAACAAAGCTAATGAAAGCAACAACAAACATGGTTTTATAAGAATACATTCCTGATATAAAGTCCTAAACATTAGAATAACTTCAAACTAATATTTCTTACTTATTAATTGTGTTTTATTAGCATCTACCCCTAAACCCAACCCTCACACTATTGTAAAAATATGATTTACTGTGTCACAAACATGATTAACGTATCCGCAGCTATATCCCTTCTAGACCTCCTCTACTAACTTGACCTAATGTTTGTGACACATATGCTATCCTATATCTATCAGGCAGTGTAGATCACAGATTCATAAAGAAATCAGACATTAAACGTGTCAACTTTATGTTGGAAAAACAGTTCACAGGAAGTGCTGAGGCTGGCTGAAATTAAAAGTTTTTGTGCATATACCCCATAAACTGTATCCCAGTTGTATTCCCTCTAACAATAACCACAGCCAAGAAACTTATTATAGTAATAATAACAAAAGAAATATAGTAATAAATAATTGTAACACCGTGGTTAAAACAAAACAGCCTGGTGAGAGTTGGAGGACTTTTATTATGAACACGCGTTTGTGTTTTCCTGAGGGGGTTTGTCTCATTAGGGCTTCCGTCAGTCTGAAGGCGCGAGTTCTGCTGGAGCCTCAGCGCTGTTCAACTGGTGAGTTTCAGAAAACTACACTATTATTAAACACACAACACATTCATAATGTCTGCGCGTTCTCAGTGTGTGTGTTTCTGGAGTGTTTATTCGTAAACTGTAGCAGTGTTGTCCTCACTTATAGCCTGAATCATCACAGCAGCAGCAGCAGTTTCTGCTCCTCACCAGTCCACGAGCGCGTACACCTGACCCGGCCTTTACTCTGATTAATTAAGATCTGTCACTGTGAACATGATTAAAGTTGTGCCAGATAATATTAATAACCCGATGGAGAAACGATCTGTGCAGGTTCCTTAGTTATATAATGTGTGTTCTGTCTGTATGTCTGTGTGTGTGTGTGTGTGTGTGTGTGTGTGTGTGTGTGTGTGTGTGTGTGTGTGTGTGTGTTGTGTTTTATGTATGATGTGTAATTGTGTATGTCTGCGTACGTGTTTTCCGTGTACTTTATATATGTTATGTATATAGTGTATGTGTCTGTGTTGTTTATGATGTGTGTGCATGTGTATATATATGACGTATGTGTGTGTATATTGTTTATGTTGTGAGTGTATTGTTTATAATGCCTATTGTGTGTGTTGTTTATGTTGTGTGCATATGTGTGTAATGTATTTATATTGTGTATATGTATATTCATATGTGTGAGTTTTGTTTATGATCTGTGTGTATCTGCATATGTATATATGATGAGTGTGTAGGTATATTGTTTGTTTGCTTGTGTGTTGTTTATGTTGGTGTGTGTGTGTGTGTGTACGTGTTTTTGTGAAATATCAGGACACATCTGTATAATGACATGAGTATGACACAGGTATTACAGAAAGAGGTGAAATATGAGCACATTGGTGACGTCCTCATTTCTCAAAATGCTTCTAAATTCCACAGGATGAGTTTAATCAGAGAGTAAAGCTGCACACAGTCTCCTGTGATGGTTGGGTTTAGGGGTGGGGTGAGGGCAATACAATATACGGTTTGGATTGTATAAAATGAATGGAAACCTATGTAATGTCCCCACTTTTCACAAAAACAAACGTGTGTGTGTGTGTGTGTTTGCAGGTGTATGATGTGTTCTCTGGCTGTGTTTCCTCCTCCGCTGGCTGCGGGACACACACACACACTGATGGAGCAGCACAACGAGCTGCAGGCGTCTGACCCTCAGGTGACCTCTCTGACCTTTGAGAAAAACACTCACGACCTTCACCAGCGGTCATTTAACGTTTGCAGAGCGTTTCTCCAGTAACCTCCACACCTTTAGATCCTAAACCGCGAGGGCAGTGCAATATACGGTCTGAACAGTGTAAAATGAATGGAAACCTATATCATGTACCCACTTTTCACAAAAACAAACGTGTGTGTTTGTGTGCGTGCGTGCATGCGTGTGTGTGCAGGTCGATCTGCCCAGTCCTCAGTTCACCAGAGACACACTGAAGGGTCACAGTCGAGCCGAGAGCAGCAGTAAATCAGCATTCCTGGACCAGAGAGACACACTGTGGAGGAGAAGCGCTGGAGCCTGGTCTGTACACACACACACACACTCACACACACACACATTCTCACACACAGATATATAAAAAAAAAACACATGCTCTTGCAAATACACACACATAATTACACAAACACTACAATACACATACTTGCATACACACACACACACACACACACACACACAGAGAGCTCAGTGTTGATTGATCAGTTTCTGCTGTTAGTTGATGATGATGATTGTGTGTGTGTGTGTGTGTGTGTGTGTGTGTCTCTCTCAGGCGTGATGCTGGTCTGTACGGCCTTCTGGACCAGATCACCAACAGTGCAGATGAAGGTGTGTGTGTGTGTGTGTGAGAGTGAAGGATGATGTATAGATTCTCTTTGTGTATGTTAATCTGTGTGTTTCTCTCTCTTTCTGTGTGTGTGTGTGCGTGCATGCGTGCGTGCGTGCGTGCGTGCGTGTGTGTGTGTGTTAGTGCCCAGGTGTGTGTCGGTGGGCTCCTCCTGTCTGCTGGCTCTGCTGAGATGGTCTTCCTCCTTCCATGGCTCTCTGTTTCCTCATCTGACAGTGAGTCACGTCAGCATGTCAGTCCTCTCCTGTCCTGCTGTAGATGCAGATATTCACCATTTCTCTGCATTCTGAACGTGTCCCGCCTGAAATGATCCAGACCTCTGACAAATGCAGAATTGAGCTTACTTTATTCAGACAGCAGGGTGGTTTTTGACCCAGGCCTCTGCCAGAAGATGATTAGATGATGTAGAAGAGGCATCGCTGTGGACAAATGTCAGAGATCTAGATGTAAGGCTGCTTTTACACCTAGACATTTGTTCAGATCAGGCTGTGTTTCCCCCGTTAGCGGGCTTCATTTGCTGTATGTGAATCCAGCAATCGTGCTCTTATCCGCGCCAAATCCATCGGTCAGAGATCGCCCGAATGAGGTGGCCTCGGTGATTGAAATGAACTTCTGAAAGCAATACAATCCAAAGAACTAACAAGTTATGTAATGGTGCGCTATATGACAGTGGCTATATGACAGTGGCTATATGACAGTGGCTATATGACAGTGGCTATATGACGGTGGCTATATGACGGTGGCTATATGACGGTGGCTATATGACAGTGGCTATATGACAGTGGCTATATGACAGTGGCTATATGACAGTGGCTATATGACAGTGGCTATATGACGGTGGCTATATGACGGTGGCTATATGACAGTGGCTATATGACGGTGGCTATGGTTATGTACTGCTTATGTAATGCGTCCGGCTACATGAAGAGAGAGTGTAGAGTAGGGTGGGGTGTCATTCCTGCTGGTAAGAGTGTGTTTCATGTTGAATTTGAGAAAGTTGTAAAAGTGTAAGCGTGCAGTCTAACTGAGCTATTACAATTATATATAACATTGCTAATGTTTTGGTTAACTCTACTTCTGATCAGCTCCTATAGCCTAGTAGTGAAGTGTGCTGATATATAGCATTGTGCTGCTCACCGTGACCTGAGTTCAGTTCCCAGCTCCAGATCCTTCTTTCCTCCCTCTCTCTGCTCCCCATGTATTCCTGTCTCATCTCTACTGTCCTGTGTAATAAACGTGAAAAAACCCTGAAATGTATTAAATAAACGCAGCGTCTGATGTAGAATCTATATATATTTTATTGACAGCTGAAATGAGGCTGTGTATGAGAAAGTCTCACCTCTGTTTATTTGATGATGATGATGTCTGTGGGTGTCAACATTAAAGGTGCAGTAGGTGATCTGCCTATATATATATCTATATATTTATATATTAGGGCTGCATGATATTAGTAAAATATTGTGATATTTTTTGTATTTATATACTCAGATGTGATCATATTTCTCTCTGTATTCAGACCTTCAGGGCAAACGTTTGATTAAAAATGTTGAAATATAAGATAATTATGAATGAAATATGGAACTACTGATTACAGGCCCAACATAAATACTAAAATACTGCTAAATAAAAGGCAGAAGGTAAATGTTGCACTTTCAAGATTGCAGCTTTCTTATGATGTTTGTTTCTGTTTCTGTTTGCATCCCCATAATAGAGTTTCATATTAATTATTAACATGTATTTCTGTAAACTGTGCGTTGAGACACCATGATATAAAGGATAGACTTTTTATTTGTCCATATGATGCATGTTAAATCTGCGTGTGTGTGTGCGCGTGCGTACGTGCGTGCGTGTGTGTGTGTGTTTCAGCTCAGCAGTGATGAGATGGTGGCCGAGTTCTCCCAGATGTTGGACTGGTAGGTCATTTCCGCCGCTCTGATCTTCATCCTCCACACTCCACTCTTTACTCTCTTTATCATGTCACTGTCTGTTAGATGATTTGAGCTTGTTTTGGAGGAGATTATTAAAACTATTACGATCAGTAATGTGCTGAAGAGACTTTATTTCTGTTGGACAGCACTCTGGACATGTTTTGAAGAGAATTAAATGTCAGAAGAGAGTGAAGAGTTCTGTCTTCAGCTGTGTGTCTGCCTGCTCTCATTGATGTTCCAGTCCAGGATCAGACCTTTGAGAGAGGTGTGTGTGTGTGGTGTGTGGTGTGTGGTGTGTGTGTGTGTGTGTGTGTGTGTGTGTGTGTGTGTGTCCTCAGGTCAGACAGTGCTGTGCGGAGCTTCTCTTGGCATCCTCACACGGATAAGTTTGCTGTAGCGCTGCTGGACGACTCCATCAAGATCTACAAACCGCACAGGTCTGACATGAAGCGTTTACACCACATCCACAGCTCCATCATCAAATCAGCAGCGCTCACACACACATAAGCATCTCCTCAGCATTTACACACACACACACACCAGTGCTCCGAGACCTATACGAGCTCCTTTCCTCTGTTGAACACTAAAGAAGATTTACTGATGAACAGACTATGTATGTGTGTGTGTGTGTGTGTGTGTGTGTCATATCAGGACACAAATCTGTATAGTGACATGGGTATGACACAGGTATTACAAAAAGGAGGGGAAATATGAGCACATTGGTGACGTCCTCATTTCTCAAAATGCTTCTAAATCCCACAGGATGAGTTTAATCAGAGAGTGACGCTGTACAGTCTCCTGTGATGGTTGGGTTTAGGGGTGGGGTGAGGGCAATACAATATACAGTTTGGATAGTATAAAATGAATGGAAACCTATGTAATGTCCCCACTTTTCACAAAAACAAACGTGTGTGTGTGTCTCCCAGCATTCTTCAGAGTATCTTCATTTGTGTTCAGCAGAAGAGAGACCCTCACACCGGCCTGTAGGATGAGAAGTCGAGCACAGTAAAATAACTGAGCTCATTGAGCAGATCTACTACAGCCGTGCTTTATCTGGAAATAACAGCACACCTTACAGTGCTCATCAGCCAATCAGAGTCAAGCATTTAGGCATTAAGTGTGTGTTTGTGTCTCTGTCTGTGTGCACGTGTATGTGTGTGTCCTGTTTGTGTGTGAATGTCTCTCTCTCTCTCTGTGTGTGTGTGTGTGTGTGTGTGTGTGTGTGTGTGTGTGTGTGTGTGTGTGTGTGTGTGTGTGTGTGTGTGTGTGTGTGTGTGTGTGTGTGTGTGTCGTGCAGCTCGACGGCCCCCACACTGAAGCACCGCTGTCAGAGGAGTGTGTGTGCGCTACAGTGGAAGCCTCTGTGCGGATCGGCTCTGGCTGTGGCCTGTCAGTCCTGCCTGCTCATCTGGCATGTGGACCCTGCGTCTCTGTCCACCAGGTACACACACACACAGAAATACTAATATACAGGTTCACACACATTCATACAATGTCCCCATAACTCACAAAAACAATTCTGTGTGTGTTTGTCAGGCCGTCGTCAGGCTGTGCGCAGGTCTTGTCTCACCCCGGTCACTCTCCCATCACCTCCATCGCCTGGTCACCCACCGGCTCCCTGCTGGTGTCTGCGTCTCCTGTCGACACGGCCATGATGGTGAGTGTGTGTGTGTGTGTGTTCTTAGGAAAGAAACCCAAAAAGTGGTACAGTATGGTACGATTGACCTTTTGGTACCTTTTAACAGACATAAGAGTGCTGACCCGCTCAGTGGAAACAGGCCATATGTTTTATTTAATAGTTTCTTCATTTATTTAATGTCGTTTGTTTGTTTATGCACTTGCAAAAGTGAGTATCATTTTAATAAGAGATGCTGATCTGGTTTCTGTTTGCGTATTGTGCCCGCTTGTGCCCTCTTGTGGTAAACTAGTATAGTAAACAGTACAGCACTGCTCCCTGTAACAGCACTGCCTTTACAGTCTGAATATGACGTGAATTTTGCTTCTATTTAGGAAAGAAGTTTGAATCTTTGATGTGTTTTCAGCCGTATGGACAGGCCGAGTGTAAATGCTGTGTTTGTTGTGACTGAATGTTGTGTGTTTGGGCAGGTGTGGGACGTGGCGGCGGAGAGCTGTGTGCCGCTGCGGAGGGTTGGCGGCGGTGGCGTCACGTTCCTCTCCTGGTCTCCAGATGGCAGTCGACTGCTGGCCGCCACACCGTCTGCTCTCTTCAGGTACAGCGCCATTATAGAAATGTAGTCAGTCGTGAGTTTCAGCCACGAGACCTGTGGATAAAAACCCGTTTCAGGCTGCGAATGTTTACGATCACGTCTCAGCAGAATAAAATAGAGATATGATCATGAGCTCTTCATTGTGCCCATTTGCTCTCCATATTCTGCTGCTTTCAGTCAGAGCTACTGAGATATCTTGTGGATATTCCTCACAGACCTCATTTTTGTTTGATTTATTTGGCAAAATTTAGATCAAAATACAAACTAGTCCAATAAGACTCATTCATGCATATTTCAAAAACTGTCCAGGATCAAACACACAATCATGTGCTTTATTATTATAGCATGAACTGCAATGTCTGTTTTTTCCACAAGAGGGAGACAGTATATTATCTATTAGTTCTTCACAGTCAAAGTGACTGAAACTGATAAAACCTTCATGAATATGTCGACACATTTGTGTCATAATAGACTGATTACAGCTTTCCTAAAATAAATAAAAGAAAATAGTGAAAAACCTGCGCTTCTTCAGGACATTACAATCACAGCAGTGGAGATTCACAACAAACAAACCAAACACAACATGATGATTACTAATAATAATCAACGTTTTAGGGTTCATTTAGAGCAATTTAGTACTGTGTGTGTGTGTGTGTGTGTGTGTGTGTGTGTGTGTGTGTGTGTGTGTGTGTGTGTTGCAGGGTTTGGGAGACGCGTATGTGGACGTGTGAGAGATGGCCGTGTCTGAAAGGCAGTTGTCAGGTGAGAAATGGATTTTTCTTGATCTTCTGTTGTTCTTGTGAAGCATCTTTGAGCACTGGACATGTGCTGTATGAAATCAGCTTATTATTATTATTGTTCTAATATAACTGCAGGTTGAAGCTCACAGTAGTTCACTGTTTCTGCAAGCCTGAACGAGTGTTTCTGCAGTGAGCATGTGTTGTCTGTGTGCGAACCGTGTGTGTATCAGTTCTAGATCTCAGCACCAGTGTTGTTGGAGTGTGTTACTAATGTGTGTGTGTGTGTGTGTGTGGGTGTGTGTGTGTGTGTGTGTGTGTGTGTGTCAGTCAGCGTGCTGGAGTCCAGACGGAGCCTGTCTGCTGTTGAGTATTCAGGGAGAGAGGCTGATCTACGCGCTCTCCTTCTCTGATCTCACAGGTATGAGCAGCTCAGCTTCTGCTTCACTACTGCAGGGACTGCTCTTACATTCAAATCAGCCTTGATTCTTGAGTTCTGCAGGGTGTCCACGCTCCCTTAAGAAGACTTCAAATTTCAAAAACTACATTTGAACCCTTAAAAAGTCTTCAGTTGACTGAAATATTGAGTTTTACATCATTTTAAAGAGGTCTTACACGGTGTAAAGCTACACTATCAGGCCGACACCTGTATAGTCACCAACAATCATCCTAATAACACGTGTAAGAGGTGTAGTTATGTCTGTTTGCCAATATGGCTTATTATCTCCTGTACAATAGCATGTTTAAAGCTTCTCTCACCTGAGCACAAGCTCATAAAAACTGGGCCATTAGTAAAAGCCCTGCGTGTTTACCCCTGCATGAGCGTGAAGTTTGATTAATAAAGGTTTTCAGTTTGATTTAGCGAGAGCTGCAGGAACCCTGCTCTAGAACAGAGATCATCAGTAGATTGTGGTAATTTAGTGTCGTCTGCATCTCCTCTTGTGTGTATGTTCAGTCGTGTGTTTGATTGTGTTTCAGGAGGTCCGAAAGCCGCTACAGTGGTGGCCGATCTGTCTGAGACCAGCTTTCCTGGACCTGAAGGAGATCTGACGTAAGAAACCACACACACACACACACACACACACATACATACATACATACACACACACGCACGCGCGCGCTGTTTTCTCCGACACGCTCCTGTAATGGAGAGAGCCTCTGCTGCGCATCCCTGTGTGTGTAATAAGCCGAGTCACACACACCATCTGAGGATGCTTTTACTATTTCAGCTCAGAATTTAGTTAAACGCTACAATTCCTGCAGGAGGATTTTGAACTAATAGAAGTTAAACTTATTTTAAATATAAAAATATTAAATTAAATCAGCTAGAACCATTTGTCCTGTAAACAAAGCTCTGGTATACAGCAATACGATCAATACAAGACTGAAGATATGACTTTACACACTACACTGTGCACTAATGTAATGTTTACACAAAACTATGACAGTTTATTCAATAATACGTCTACATTTAGTCATTAAGCTTTAGTTTAATTACATTTAGTCTCATAACAAATAGTAAAACAGTGAAAATATATTTGCACACATTTACATTAGTGAATAGAGGGAATTAATGGGTCAACAATCAGTCGCCATTGCATTATTTAGGTTTTCAGCTGTATAAATTGCAAAATGAAATGTATTTTACTGGATGGATTAAGACTGGTACGACTTGATGGCAGCTGGACACAAATATCTAAAAGATTAAATGTAGCATGACACTCTGCTTTGTTCACGATAAAAATAAAAAATCAACTAGTCTGATGAAGCAACAGATGCCATTGTGTAAATGCTTTAAACTCACATGACATGTTTAACAGAAAGAAAAACGAAAACACTGCATTTAATACACTTTAAATCCACAACAGTTAAACTGCCATTAATCTACAAGCTCCTGCTCAACAATAAACACTTAACATTGCAGATCCAGCGATGTGACTATATCAATGCTGAAACCGTGTGTGCGTGTGCCTGTGCGTGTGCCTGTGCGTGTGCCTGTGCGTGTGCCTGTGCGTGTACGTGTGCGTGTGTAAATAAACACCCCCTGCTGTGTTGTGTGTGCAGTGTCGGAGGAGAGGTCTGCTCTCTGTCTTGGGATCCTCGAGGTGAAAGACTCGCTGTGCTGCTGAAAGGTAGAATGAAGTCCTCCTGAATAATGAACAATAAATAGATAAGTAGTTTTAAATAATCAAACAGATTTCTAAAAAGTAGTCAGATAAAGTGATAGTAAAGCAGTGGAGCTGTGGATCTTCTGCCTGATTATTAGATTTAATAACGATGCAGTGAAGTGATTCTCCTCTGTCTACAAGTCTTCTGTTATATCTGCTTTATCTCTCTCCACAGTCATGACTGCCCACCCAAAAACTAATTTCACTCCTCGTTTACTGACACTGCTTAACATGAACTCAACTCTGTTTCTCTCTTCTGCTGAACACAGATATTTTAATAATGTTGAGATCTGCAGCCTATTAGAGCTGTTTCATGCATGCAGAACAGCGTCCAGTCTGATTATCCCGAGCTCTTGTGGTCAGGCTGTGTTTGTGTTCACTCAATCTGCAATCAGCAGTAATCCATTATTTTAGCAGAGGAATTGATCAAAACTGCATTGTTTTTATTTTTACTCGAGCTATCATCTAATGACTGTATGATCTGAACTCATTGACCGTGTGTGTGTGTGTGTGTGTGTGTGTGTGTGTGTGTGTGTGTGTGTGTGTGTGTGTGTGTGTGTGTGCAGG